GAGAATAAAACTGAGGTCGCAGTAGCAAAACTGTAATCCAGCAAAAGTCAAACACATTGTATGGAGCTTTTGGGCCATGTATGAGCTTCAAGGGCACTTCTGGAACACTAAATTTCCCACTAACAATTTCTTATAGCATGACCTGCCGGAAAAAAGCCTCCTTTCCCAGCAGGCTCCCAAACAATAAACTCCTTTCAACAGTTTTGCAACACTGTTGATATCTCAATCAGAACAACTTTGTTTGAGGCTTAAACTCCATTTGTAACCAGATTTATATTGTAGAATAGTGACTTGCAGTAAGAGCAAAGATCTCAGGATTCTTCTTCTTAGAATTAGAGGGGTGTTCGCAGACTAAGTCATTCTAAATTTTAATCTTTTCCCAATTTACCACTTTTTATTTGTAATGTTTCTGAGAAATCAGGCCAATGATTCCTTATGCAGTTGCAGATCCTAGACCATACATGGAACTTACTGATTGTGCACCAGAATGCCAACTCCCTATACTTCACTTATACCAGCTTTATCTAACGCTACTGTTCTTCTTTGAATATCTCCATAACTATTTCATTATTAGAATTTCACTATGGTTAAAGCTTGTGAACAATGGTAGAACCATAAATTTATACAACGGGATACAAAAAAATCTACAACGTCATAGTTGGAATTTGATCCTAAGGCCTAAAGCAATTTTGAACCTCCTTCACAACTACATTTTGATTTATTTTCATAACAGTGCACATATAACAAAAAGAAGACCGGTTTCGCTCTTTTATATTGTGTTATTTTTCGATGAAGGGGGTTCGATCCCTTCACTCTACCTAGTATCCATGATAGCAAAAGTCAGAAATTGAAGTACTGAAAATGTGAGGAAAATGGGAAGGACTAAAGCAAGAAAATGGGGAAAAGAAGTTAACTTCTGAAGATATAGCAGTGATTGAAAATGTGAATGATACAACTGTTGAACATGAAAAAAAGAAAACTGATCTAAGGGAAGATGAGAATGCCTTACTACAACAAGTTCTTGCAGAGGCTGCTGAACCATATGGTATTAAAAGTTGGTGCTAGGAATTATTCCATTCATGGTCAAAGGGAACTTTTACATGCATTTTGTCATTGGGATAAGGCTAGTTGGAGTACAATGGTTTTTGTTTGGCTTCTGAACTGAAATTCTTTAGCCAAGAGCTTATATTAACTCCATCTTTTACAGTTCAATCACCATTACCTTATTTGTTCGACCATGCTTTGCATAATACTTATTGTGATTGTGGCACACGAATCACACCTGATGAAACTGTTGTTCTTGGGGCTGCAGTATCAACTGGTGCAATTGTTAGATATGTTAGTGATATGTTCTTTTAGATATGACACCATTATTTCCTGGCGAGGGAACTCTTGGTGATTTTATTCCCTATACTCAAGAGAGCAACAAAGCAATATAAATTCCTAGAGCAATATAAACACAAGTCTAGATAGCAACAAAAACATTAAACATTAGCTGAAGTAAAATGATCACAAGTCTAGACAACCATTACAAATTTAAATTCCTAGAAAGCAAAAGTAGTCACAACGAAAATATTAAGCACTAACTAAAGCGATATAAACACAAGTCTAGACAACCACTAAAAATTAAATTCCTAGAAAGCAAAAGTAGTCCACAACGAAAACATTAAGCATTTGATTGGTGATTTGCGTTGTTATCCGCCGATGAGCCTTTTACATCAACTAGTGAAGTAGGTTCATTCTCTGTATCATCAGGATGAAACAATAAAAATGATATTCAGTGAGAAAGTTATATAGATTAATTCCAAACAAGATCAGGAAACAAGATTGTATCAAATGTAGCCCTTATCCTAACCAAATCAAAGCCTTTAACTTCTGCTAGGAGATGGGAATTCCTTGCCACCACCTCCATCTTTAGCAAAGTTAGCAACAAATTTTACTAGAATTAGATGATATGAACTGTATATTGTACTAACTTTATTTTGTTATCAAATAGAAGTACAATGCAATTAAACTGACCAGAAGTTGTTGTAACAGAAGAAGACAGATTATATTACTTCTTACATGTGGTTGAAGCGCAAACAGACCAGCAAATTCTTCAGGAACCACACCTTTCTTTGACATCACGTAGACCTTCAACGCATTTAAGGTGCCTTCTAGTTGGGATTCCACACGCATAAGCTTTTTTTGCAAATAGGTATATGTTGCATATGATGTACCATAGCTAGATGAAGAAACATTCGGATCACTAAGTTGTCCTTTCTTATTCCTGAATGTGTTCGAAGGAGATGCTCCCATACCCATACATCGTACTCTCCCAGAGTGCTCTGTCCCTAACATCTTGCCAATAACATCATTTGGGGAAACTTCACATTCATTAGTATCACATTGAGTCATATTCAATTCAATTTGTTACTACAAGCAAATAAAATATCAATTAGTAAGTACAAGATAGCAAGACTTGAGTTGCATAATGTTATACAAAACAATGAAAATGATGTTAGAAAAATGCATCAAAGCTAGACTTACCCCTATAGTCCTTGCCGCATCATTTACACATGATCCATTAGCTTTCTTATGAGTTTCAATAAACATTTTTCCACGACTAGGAGTTTTTCCAGTTTCCAAAAACTAAAAAAGAAATGTATTAAAAAATTATCATAAAAAATTTTAATTAGAGAAAAAGTAAACTTAATAAGGTAATGTGCATACAAGCTCATATCGTCTTCTCGAGTGAGCTTTTGAACCACCAGTGTGTGGCATTTTTTGTTTCTTTCGAATTTCTTTATTTCTTCTACAAAGCTCCTATCAACAAAAACAAATACAAATTTAAAACATCATCTTCATTTAATTATGATAAAACTTATTACAATAATCTGAATCTTACTATTATTGATGATTTTTGACGATAAGCAACAAAAATAGCTCATTGATCTTTATTTATACCTGCTGGCACATTACTTATAATTTTATTTTTGCTTTTGGCTGGGTCAAAATATTCATTCCACAACTTCTGCCTATGTGTAGCCCACTTCTTCGAAAGACTAGCATTGCAGTATCTATATGAAATGGACTCACTTACCCGAAAATCAAATTGAGGCTTCAAACAAAAAATTGAAGTTAGTTTTTTCATGGTATAAAAATCTAGGTGCAATAAGTACATATGTATGTAATAACACTTGTACCTTCAATATTGTTTCAAAGCAGTCTTCCATGTACTTCTTAGGCATGCCCGATGGCCCTGACCACTTCTCAAAACTAATCGGAAACAAATTACAATCAATTGCCAGCGATCCACAATATCCAAGTAATCCTTGTGCTTCACCATATGATGCATTGTAGTCATCAAAATTCACAATGATGCGCTCCCCAACAGTTAGGTTGTTAACTTCATTGACCTTGACCCTAATTTGCTTGGTAGCATTTTCCGAGTCTTTAACAAGAAAACAAGTTACTTAACCAAAAAGGAAGAAAAAATAAGATTCTCATAAATTGAAGTAAAAATATATGTAAGGCATATACCTTTTGCCTCTACTATCCAATACTTTGTAGATTCACGTCCGGCACGGCGAGATGTTGCACTTGAATTAGAAGGAAGAATTGGAGCTTGTTCTTGTTGTGGGACTTCATGAGCATGTGGGAGGGCTTGTACTATTGTTGAGGGCTCGATAGCATGTGATTGGACTGGAGTTGCTGATGATGAAGAATGTCCATGAGCATCATGTGGTTCACGAGCTGACTTTAGTGGATTCCAGAAACGCTTAATCTTCAACATGGCTGCATATTCATAAGAAAAAGAGAGAGAGGAGAATCAAATAGGAAGAGGAACTAAACATCAGATAGAAGATGATACAAAAAATTGTCCCGAAACTACCCAACAAACCCAATTTAGAGCCTCAAAAGATCTGGTTTTTTACTCCGAACAAAACAAATTAAATAAACTAAGTACAATATACTCTACAAACAGCCAAACTCAAATAATTGGCAAAGAGGATCATAGAGAATCAACAAACTACACAATGCCACGATTTTGGTAAAGCTAAGAAGTGAAATTAAAATGAACAAACTTAAAAGAATTAAAATACAAAAAGAAAAGAGAGAACTGACCTAATGCTCACCAGGAATTTCATCTCTCGAAGAGGCATTATATGCTGAATATATAGCTCTGGAAGTGGAAGTTTCTTACGCAGAAAATGGGAGATCAGGGGTCTAGGGGAAGGTGGGAATATGGATGGAACAAATGGTGGGAATAAAGAGAAGTTACCTAAGTAGTTGAGTTAAAAAACGAGGGAAAAAACTGAGGGAAATGAAAAGGAAAATAGTGAAGTGGTTTCTTTACTTTTTCCTCGGTTTAGTTTTCATTATTACATTTACAAGAGAATTCAATTTGCTGTAATTTCACATTTTGAGCTACAGAACTGTTTTTCCCAGCAAGTATCGGTAACGATACTTAATTAAGCCATATGTTGTGACTTTGATTTCAAATATAGCTAGTATGTGAACTAAATCAGACTTCTAATCATAGCATAATACGATTCCGATTTGAAGTTATCTTTAATTGAATCATAGAATTATATTTGGACAAAATTTATTTGATCGAACTCCTAAATAGTAGGAAAGTTTTTTGAGTTTATAGTTTTATCCAATGTATGTTTTAAGGGTAAAACAGTCGAACGACATTTTGCTAAGGGTTTTCGTCTTT